AACATAAATTTTGTCTGTTTCATTACTAAGCTAACAGAAGAACAATCAAATTAAAACATAAAAATGTGGAAATTAAATATTTGAATAAGAGAAAAATTACCTTAACAAGCCAATAAGGACTCAGATCTGACAATAATGTTTCAAGTATAGGGATAGCACTATTTGAAACATTACTATTTAAAAGAGGCATTAAACATACTGATACAGCTGAAAGTGAATGACATACACATATATAAGAATCATCTTTTAATCCCTAAAATTAAAAAAATATGTTTAGTTCCACTGGTGTTTTATGAAACAATGTACAAAAATACTTGAGTAATGATGTTGATTAGATCTATAATCACTATATTTGAAGATCCAACTTCATTGTTTTGTACTTTAAACGCACCAAAATTATTTCTAAGAATTACTTCAATAAATGTGCCAACTAATTTAATTGCCATGCCTCTCAAAAGATGATCTTCATGGTTAGTATAACTGATAGCAACATTAAGTAATGTTTCTGTAGGATCTAAAATGTATAATAGCGTTAGTACATTGCAATTGAATACTCAAAAAATTATATATTTTTACCTGACAAGTTGTAATTGATAAAAGCTAAATTTGGATCAATTTTCAACATTTCTGTCAGACATCCAAGTGCTGATGATTTAATACCAGTTCTGACTGATTTACTAGRTTCTGGTGCCAAGAAAAGTGAAATCATCTTGACGCATAGCACATTTAAAGGAACATCCTCATAAATATGGTTTAAAAATTCTAATTCCTATATACCAAAATATTAAAATTTTTACTTATTAATTAAATATACATATTTTTAGCTTTTGATTAAATTTAAAATCAACTGAATTAACACAACATACTAGTTGTAAGACTGATCCAGAAGCTGAATGATAACTATGCTCAGAAGTTATACTTTGCACATCAAATTCAGGAGTATTTTCATATTCAGAAAAAAATACATTATCCGCAATTGAATCAACTTCACTCAAACTATCATCGCCAAATTCTGAATATAAATTTGTCATAGAATTAGCTGATGATAATGAATGTCTAGTTGAGTCCATGGATTGTGAAATTGACCTAGGTTCTTCTTCAAATCTTGGTAGAGACAGTTGAACAAATGATGTTTCTAAACTTTCAGATGAACTGTAGTGAAATGATTTTTGTAGACTTTGGGCTAATGTTCGAGGTATTTTAATAGAATTTACAGTTGTTTGCATTTTAGCTATAATAATAGTATAATATTGAATAAGAATAAATGTGACAAATTTTACATATTGATAATGTTGAGCAAAGATTGAAATATTCTCAATGCAAATATTCCTGCAGAAAAATATCGTAGAAGACTATTTCAGTTTTAATATTTTGAAATCTTTCCTACTTGTAATCTAGTATATGTTTGAAAAATATTTAATAATAAATTATAATTACATTTTAATGTACAATTATTTATATTATTTAAATTTCTAAGATTAAAACATGGATTTGTTGATGAATTAATTGATTTCTAAGTAAGTCATGCTAAATAATAAAAAAATTAAATAATTTGTTTTCATATAAAATTGAGAATATTTCTTAACTCAACACATCCACAATGCAGTGATAATTTTTTCAGGTAATACAATTTTTTTCGGCTATATTACATTTATGATAAGGTTTTAAGCTAAAACATTTATAAGAACATTTAAACTGTTTAATCTTGTTGTATTATCCCACCATACTGCACATATGCAACAAAATTTGTGTTTTTATTAACATCAATAATTATTTATGATCCCATAGATCCCAATCTAGGTAACTATATTTGAATAGTCTTATTTTTTWAAAATAATTTTAACTTAACTATAGTTCTAAAATAAAAATTAACCAAATGAGACATTTAAAATTTAAATACATATAGTTTTCTTTTTTTTTAAATGTTTAAATCCTTTTATATGAATAGTTTTTAAATATTTTTAGATATTATTATCACATTTTTTGTAATGTAGTAATTAGTATCTTGATTAAATTTAGTATTCAATACATAATTAAAGTATTGAACCTACAGTTATTATTAAATAATAAAAATTTAAGCTGGAGACCTAACCTAACCTAACCATTAGACTAATTATTTTAATAGGTGGAGAAAAACATATTTATAATTAAATTTGAATAGCTCTTAGTTTTGATTTTAAAGTTAATTTGTTAAGTCAAAATTACTTTTAAAAACAGTCTATAGAATAGAACTATAGAATCAATAATAATTGTTGTTATGTAAAAAAGTCATAATTTGCACTATGTATATTGTATACTTAAAAATTTTAAATGTTCTTATAGAATTAAGATATATATTTACAGGGGCGCCGAACCCAGGTATCTATAGGGGCAACTGCCAACCATGTTTGAATGGGTGAATGTTAAGTAAACTTAGTATTGTGATTTAAAAATTATATTGTTCATCAGTATTTTAGATATATTTATTTTATTATGTGTATGCATATTGTTAAAGCACATATTTATAYGTATCTAAAACCAACCAAATATATGTTAAAAATCTTAAATATGCATAAATATTTTTATATGCATCAAAACATAGAAAAGTGCATGAAAAATAATAAATATACAAAAACATATGTTTTTTGAACATTTAATTAAAGCAACCTCTTTTTAAAATTGTTGAACTAGTATAAATACTTTTCTTCATTTTTTTTTCTAAAAATGTCAATGGCGAATGGTCAAAATAAATATTAAATTTATCTACTTTATTTATATATTATATTTTAATCTTGGCATACATATTTCATTTCACCAATTATTGATCTAAAGTCTATGATCTTTGGGAAAACCGTTTACACCAACAAGTATAACTATAAAATTATTTTAATATCAATCGAAACCTATGAAAATATAAAATTTATCCCTTATATTCCAATTTCCAATAGTATTCATTAAAAAAAATGTCTAAAAAAAACATCGAAATATGCACTAAAAATGAAATAT